CTGGGCTGTACTGGGGCTGTACTGGGAGTCAGCTGGGCTGTACTGGGGTGATACTGGAGACATACTGGGACTCAGTGGGGCCATACTAGGGGCAGTTGGGTTGTACTGGGGGATACTGGGACTGTACTGGTCAGGTCCCATGACCCCTATGGAGCCCATGGCCACGCCCCCAACATGACCACGCCTCCTCAAGGCCCCACCCCCAAGGATGAGACACACTGGGGGGGGAGGGGCACCTTTATTGACAGGGGGACACAGGTAACACCCCTCCCCCCACCAGGTACCCACACATACCCCCTCACCTGGGGCACTGCCCCCCGAGGTGCCCCCTCACCTGCTCACCTGCAGGCACAGGTAGGCAGATGCCCCCCCCAGCACCTCCAAGGTTTCCAGGTGGGCACTGGGCACCTCCTCAGGGGGTTCCAGGTGGGCACTGGGCACCTCCAAAGTCTCCAGGTGGACATTTGTCACCTCCTCCGTGGGCTCCAGGTGGGCACTGGGCACCTCCATCACCTCCAGGTGGGCATTGGGCACCTCTGAGGTCTCCAGGTGGGCACTGGGCACCTCCAAGGTCTCCAGGTGGACATTTGTCACCTCCTCAGGGGGTTCCAGGTGGGCACTGGGCACCTCTGGTGTCTCCAGGTGCACAGAGGGCACCTCCAAAGTTTCCAGGTGGGCACTGGGCACCTCTGGTGTCTCCAGGTGGGCATTGGGCACTTCCTTGGGGGTCTCCAGGTGGCCATTGGGCATCTCTGATGTCTCCAGGTGAGCACTGGGCACCTCCAAGGTTTCCAGGTGGGCGTGGGGCACCTCCATCATCTCCAGGTGGGCACTGGGCACCTCCGTGCCGAGTTCCAGGGTCACAGGGGGCACCTCCAAAGTCTCCAGGTGGACACTGGGCACCTCTGAGGTCTCCAGGTGCACAGGGGGCACCTCCAAGGTTTCCAAGTGGGCACTGGGCACCTCCTCCATGGTCTCCAGATGGACATTGGTCACCTCAGGTGGTGGTGGCAGCACCTGGAGCTGGACATTGGTCACTTGGGAGGGCGGTGGCATCGCTTGGAGCTGGACTTTGGTCACCTCAGTGGCCTGGAGATGGACATTGGTCATCTCAGGTGGTGGTGGTAGCACCTGGAGCTGGACATTGGCCACCTCACCTGCTCGGAGCTGGACACAGGTGACACCTGAGGGTGGTGGCTGCGCCTGGAGCCGGACATTGGTCACCTCAGGGGGCGGTGGCAACACCTGGAGCTGGACATTGGCCACCTCACCTGCTTGGAGCTGGACACAGGTGACATCCAGGGGTGGTGGCAGCACCTGGAGCCGGACTTTGGTGACCTCAGGTGGAGGTGGCAGCACCTGGAGCTGCACTCTGGTGACACCTGAGGGTGGTGGCAGTGCTTGGAGCTGGACATTGGTCACCTCAGGTGGTGGTGGCAACACCTGGAGCTGGACTTTGGTCACCTCGGAGGGTGCTGGCAGCACCTGGAGCTGCAGCCCTGTGACACCTGTGACACCTGGCACCCCTGTCACACCTGGGATACCTGGCACCCCTGGCACCCCTGTCATACCTGTCACCCCTGTCACCTCGGTGGCCTGGAGCTGCACCCCTGTGACACCTGCAACACCTGTCACACCTGTGACACCAGTCACAGCTGTCACACTTCTCACCCCTGTGACACCCGTGACACCTGTCACACCTGTCACACCTGGGACGCCTAGGACACTTGTCACCCCTGCCCCCTCTGTCACACCTGTCACCTCCCTGCCCTGCACCTGGACGTTGGTGACCTCCGGCAACACCTGGAGCTGCACACCTGGCACACCTGTGACACCTGGCACCCCTGCCACACCTGTCACCTCAGTGGCCTGGAGCTGCACACCTGGCACCCCTGTCACACTTGTGACACCTGTTACCCTGGTCACACCTGCCACACCTGGAACAGCTGTCACCCCTGTCACACCTGTCCCCTCCCCCCCCTGCACCTGGATGTTGGTGACCTCCGGCAACACCTGGAGCTGCACACCCGGGACACCTGTGATCCCTGTGACACCTGTCACCTCGGTGGCCTGGAGCTGCACACCTGTAACACCTGTAACACCTGTCCCACCTGCCACACCTGTGACCCCTGCCACACCTGGAGCACCTGTGACCCCTGCCACACCTGTCACCTCGGTGGCCTGGAGGAGCTGCACACCTGCCATGCCTGCCCCACCCGTCACACCTGTGACCCCTGCCACACCTGTCGCCACCCCTGCCGCCTCAGCCACCTGTACCTGCACACCTGCAGGCCCCATCCCGCCCCTCAGCA